GAGAGAGAGAGAGAGAGAGAGAGAGAGAGAGAGAGAGAGAGAGAGGAAACCAGCCATTGTCATGAAGAAAGTGCATCTTCCCCCCCCTAGATTCATGGTATGAGCATGCAGTCACAAGGCTTGCAGGTAAACTGAAGGATGTGGCGTCTGTATCGTATGATTTGCAATAATTTCAGGCTAAAACCGTTTAAGCCTGTACCTAACAAATGATCCTTGTAAATCAACCTGGAAATTCAGGCTTCTGGGTATGTTTGAACAGGTCCTTGATGACCCAAATGATTTTGCCTAATGTAAGGTATGTATCTTAGCCATCTAACCGTTTGGACTATGGGGATTGAATTACTATAGAGAGTATGAAATCAACCTCCTCTCTCTACATTTAGGCTCATCAAACTTAGACTCCTGTTCAGAATAGGCAGGATCGAGTGTTCTCTTGTAATATATCCAAATAAATGGTCATTGAGCTATTCTTTTTTTAAAAAAGGCAACCTTGTTCTTATTATTATTTTTTGATTGCAGGAGTATAACCATCATACAAGGGAAATATTGAAAAAGTGATCATACAGAGTGTGTGTGAGAGAGAGAGAGAGCATAGCTAAACGGAAGAATTGTCTCGAGTCAGGAAGTGTTGGGTGTGCAATTCTGGTTTGAGGAACCCAAGAGTTGCATGTTTCCCTGGTTTTTTAATTTTTGTATTTTCGATTTTGTCCATACAATGATCTGGCTCAGAAATATCTGAGTGATCGGTCTACTTGGAATCGGTCCCTTGTCCGATTCCGAATTCTAAAACTCCAAGCCAAACTTTATGGCGTGGAAGCTTGTTTGTTACCCTCACTTTATCTATTATCAGCTAGAAAAACGTTTTTGGATAGAAGGTGATGAAATTATCATGAATTATGCGAGAATCATTATCAATTCAAAATCAACAATTTAGTTTTGTTATTTACATTGAATTTTGTATGAAAATTTTATAAAATCGTTGTGTTTTTTTTGCTAATTCAATTTGAACCAGGCTTAACCGATAAGAATAATCCATCAAGATGTCCAGAAAATTGGAAAAAATACATTCAAAATCTTCCAGAAGACACAAATAAGCTATATATTATTGCTCTTTTGTCCCCTCGTCTTTGTTTTTCTATTTGTGTTCATCATTCTAAAGAATCTTAGCACTAGTATGTTTGGCTGTGTCAAAGGCGGTTTCCAAATATGACTTGTCACTTGTAAAAATTTGGGAAATTTATAGATCCCCCCATGACCACACTTTCTTGACATGCCACTTCTAATATTTTTGACACCACCCTACTAATCTTAATAATTTTTATGTTTACATCCACCTACCAAAGTTAAAAAGTAATTTTTTTTTTTAGGACAAAAATAACTCACTTGTGATGGTCTCCATTTATCTTTTGCATATCGGGGTCACAATCATTCTCACTTATTAGATGTCAAATTAGATGTTTTGTGTGAGTCACTAAGGCCGAGTACTTTTTTTTTTTTTTTAATTTTGTATCTATTCAATGATACTCTTACAACCACCCATTTTAAAATTTATAAGACAAGAATGATTGTGATTTCCATGTATAAAATATAAATGGTCCCTTTTGTAGACAACTTATGTATATAAGATAGTTTTTTTATTTAAAAGGTTAAAATTTGAAATTTAGAGGGTTAAATTATCTCAAAAATTTTAGAGAGAAACTTTTTCAATTTTCAAATATTTAGAGAGAGAAAATATCTCAGAAAAACTCTCTGCCTCGAGAGAACGAAAGGGATGGGAATGAATGTAGTTTATGCAATGGGATATTTTCATCCTCAGAAAACTACTTTCTTAGGGCAAAATTAATGGTATTTAGGTTAATGGTGATGTTAAGATTAGGGGTGGGCATACCCACAAAATATAATCCAGAGGCGGGTAAATTTGCCTAAAAAATATTTGGGTTTTAAGTGTCAATAGAACCACCTAAAACTGTGTTTATGATGGCTTGGGAATTGTCTCTAATCGATCATCTCGACCTCAAGATACATGGACATTATAAAAAAAGTAGATTTCAAGTTGTGGAAATAATGCATCTTGTAATGCATTTTTGGACAGTCAATTTTCAAGACTTTCAAGTTTTCATAGATATGCTCAATGTACACTATTTTTTAAGCTTTAAATTTTATAATTAGATATTGAAAACATATTTTAAGGCTATCACATAGATTTTTAGTGTTGAAACCATATTTTTTGACTCTATTCGAAGGTGTGCTTTACTTTGATTGTTTAGAGCTTCAGCTTTATACAAACCGCACTCATTTATAAACAAGTTTTTTGACGACTCAAAAGCCAAAAATTCGAATCTATTTGGCTTCAAAAGTCAGGATTTGGGCTTCTAATAGGTTCAAATCCGTTAGATCCAATGTTTATTGAAACGGACGGTCTAAATCAAAATTTTAAATGGCATTTACGATGGACTCCTCCTCGTATCGAGAGGGTCCCCAAAATTTTGGATATTTTTTGTCATCCAAAGTGACGGTGAAATGAATGAGGCCACACTTTTCATGATGAGGCGGCCTACTCATGAATTATGCTTCCTTGAATAGAACCACACATATCACACTATATACTACCATATTTTTATGTTAATTATAACAAAGTGCATACACCATTTATTTTTTGGAATTTTATATAATGAGACAATTTATCTTTGATACAAAGTTGTCACGATTGCTTATAAATATCCGATTTGAAATCTGCTAGCTTGAGTATGTCACAAATTTTGAAAAAATGATTTTTTAAATTTTGAGCTTGATCAATAGAAAAACTGTAACCATACAATTTTACATTCAATGGTCAAGATTAATTATGTCTACCTTAAACTAAAGATAAATTCAACTCATCATATGCTATTTTTTTTTTTTTTTTTTTTTTTATGCATTGCTTGTTTGATATGAAATTACACAGTCCAAAATACATTTTCGAATGTTGTGACACACTTTATCGATTGGATTTTGAATCCAATGGCTACAAATGATTGTGATATCCTTGGACAAAAAATCAATTGTCTTGCATCGTACATTCCCATTTTATGATCGTCAAGAGGGTTACAGGACCACTTTTCCCCTTATAACGTGGGCTTCTAGGGGTGGCAAACCCAGCTCTAGAAATTAAAAAACTAAAAAACGTTTATTTTACGTACTACATGACGTACACTTAATATATTTTAAATCGGGTTGGGTCAACCTGACTTGACCTGACAAGGTCTATGCCGGACTCAGACATGGTCATTTGGAACCGAACCGAATCCTCCAAGTCCAAAACATAAACCCAGACCCGGACCCAATTTGGGTTGATCCACCGGGCCTATCGGTCGAATCCTTGCCACCCCTATGGGCTTGTCTTTCTATATACATTTTAGGGAAAAACTTTCATGCTCCTATATGAGCATATTGTCTATGTATTCTCACGAGCAAAACCCAGTTTAGTAGTATTTTTGGTACACCTCAAATTCTGGAGATGTAATCTCTTTAACCCATATGCTGTACTCAACTGAAAAAAAAAAAAATCCAAATTGCATCCTTTATACTTGCAAAAATAATACCTGAATAGAAATCATCTAATTTTTGAAGGATGATATATAGGTATTAAAAAGCTCAAAATTCAAAATTTAATATCATCTTGTGATTTTTAAGCGGATCCCAAACTTTCAGATACAAAACATCTTCCCAAGTTAGTCTTCAGGCTCTTCTTCCTGAGAGAGTAAATGCATAGCATATGCTCTTGTAGGAGCATAAGGTATGTGCTCCTCCATGAATCTACCTATTTTACTTTTTGGATTCTCTCTGGTGGCAGAGCATACTGTCCATTTATTCCCTCAATGCCTTTAGGACATCAAATTATAGAGATGCAACATCTTTAACCTATGAATTACATTCAGTTGAATTAGATTTTCAAATCCCGCTTTATGTGCGCTTGAAACATAATATGGCATAAAATGAACAACGTGAGTGAGATCTAATATCAAGTGAATTTATCAAAATAAACCTAACGTTTGAACTATTTAATAATATGGGTAAGTACTTCAAATGATAAGTGCACTTCGATAAGTTTCTCAAATAATTAAAGACTTATCAAAATAATTTATTTATGGATGGGGTTTCTATGAGTAGGCCGACTCATGTACATATACAGACCCCCACGAAAATTCATTTAAGCCTCAAGATTGAATAGAGACCCCCACGAAAATTCATTTAAGCCTCAAGATTGAATAGAGACCGTTGAAATTTTGAAGCGCTAGATCTAAGTGTCACAAACGTAAAATTTAATTTTTTATTTTCAAAATAATCATCTTACAATTATTATGTATTTTTCAAAATTTTATACTAAAAAGTTTCCCTTAAATAGGTGTTTTGAGTAAGAAAGGAGATGCGCAATATCCTCTTACAAATCACAAATATTTCCAATATTAAAACCACGTTCCTCAACGCTATTTGAAGGTCTGGTTTATTTTGATATCTTAGAGCCTCGGCTCGATAAGGTCTGGTTTATTTTGATATCTTAGAGCCTCGGCTCGATAGGAACCCCACTCTTTCATGTTTTTTTTTTTTAGGTGTGACAAGTAGATCTTTGCCCTGAGGAAGTAAACACACACTATGCTCCCGCGAGACGATTGTTAAATCTAGAGGCGTGGCCTCTGGCGAAAGGGTAGTTCAGTCATATAACCGAAACCAGCGGCGTCATTTCCCATTTAAACTTAGCTTTTCTTTGAGCGGTGAGAACTTCGATTCTCTTTCTCTCTCCTCTTCTCTCTCAGATGCTGATTTAGTGGAAAGATCGCTCTCACTCTCTCTCTTACCATCTCTTTCTTCTCTCTCTCTCTCTCTGTTTCTCAGAGGTTAATGTAGTGGAAAGATCCTTCTTTTTTCGTTGTATGGCTCAAGCCGCCGTAGAGGAATCCATTGCCGTTCGTATTTCTCAATTGGATCTCCTAGGCCAGGTATTTTCATTCGTTTTTCTTTCTTGTATTAATCATAGGGGAGACACCCTTTTGCGGACCAGTTGTTTGATTGAATATTTCATCTTATAAGCATTTTCTACCTATTTATTAAGGTTTTTTCCCTGTAAAATTCCCTTGAAGATTTTTTTTATCATTTATGATGATTAATGTGAACAAATGCTGATAATTTTGATTGTTCTCAGTGTTGATGTTAGTATATGGATTCTATCAATACTGACTGGTGGTTCCAAATCGGTTTCTGGTATTATAATCGCTGTTATTGTATTATTGATTCTTTTTGGCATTTGAATATTGGTTCCTTTTCTTCTTCTTCTTCTTCTTCTTCTTTGATAAGTTGATGATAATTTATTAATTTTATTAAAACTGAAAGCACCGATTGGTTCTTTTGTGCATTTAGAAATTGGTTCTTATACTTTTTTGAAAAGTTTTTAATGATTTCATTTAAATATACAGAAATCCTCTTTTGTGCATTTAGAGATTGGTTCTTATACTTTTTTGATAAGTTTTTAATGATTTCATTTAAATGCACACAAATCCCTTACTATTGATTCCTATTTTAATGATCTTCTATTTGTAGGTTTGTGTTTTTTCTAATACACGGATGACTGAAATCAAGCATTCTGCTGGCTTGTATGGGTTTTATTTTGTTTCATCCAGTATCTTTCCTTTTTCTGAGGTCATTGATTACAGTAGATGGGTGTTTTTTGGATATCAAATTGTGCCTGAACCGGTTATTCTATTTCTTATTAATGTAAAGATTGCCTGTTTTCATTTTTATTTTTGTTTTATAGTATTTTTCACCTTTTTCAGTTGTACACCTTTTGGGGTTGGTATTTAGATTAGATTGGAGGACTGAATTGCTTTCTTTTTGTTTATTCCTAAAAGAATTTCCCTGATTTAGTTCTTATTACTTTTCAGAGAACGATGGGAAAAAAAAAGAATTACTTAAGCTTGATAGTAGGCGCACACTTTGTGATTTGGTAACTCCATTCATGAACGAAGCTTTTGTGCCTCATTAGGATTTTGATTACTCGAGCTGTTCTGCTCCTTAGATTTCTGTGGTGCTTGTGTACCATTTAATTTGGTTGAAAAATAGGTGGTGTTTGAATGATGAAGGTTGTCAAATGCCAAACCTCCCCCTCAACATTACCAATTCAACTCTTCCCTTTCTTTCATCATTACTTTCCCCCATAACAAACATTTGTTTGGTTTTGGAATATGTGCCTTGTATCACAGTTTTGCAAACATGCCGTGGGTCTTTTGTAAGCAAATACCTGGAAGTTATTTTACGGGGTAGCAACTATATTTTCTTCCCAAAAGCTGAAAGAATAGGAAAAAAAAAATCCTCTGTTCAATTTCTAATGAACAAACTAGCATATTACACCATAGTTGCTCATCATCATGCAAAAGAGCAAAGCATGTGACTGACACACTTTATCCTTGTTATTTGATCTGTTGAGTCAAAGCAATGGTTCATTTTACAGATCCTTCACAAATAATGGTGTTTTTGTTTTGTTTGGTCGACAATTGGACCCAGAGTTCTAAGTTTTTAATTTGTGCTGTCCAATTTTGAAGTTGTTGTGGACCCATTACATGTCCAAGAAGCACTTCAAATAGTGCAATCTCGCACTTGCTATGGTTTGAATTACTGGATTTCATGAGCTACAACTCACTATAAAGTTTGTTAAAGGCTCACTGTGAGGTATTCCCCTATTAGGCATCCAATCCTGTATGAGGCAAATTATGGCCTTGGTGATGGAGTTAAGGTGGCCATTTTCGATAACTGAAAACAGTAGATTCTTGTGAGTGATACCTGAGTTGATAAACCTCATTTACTTCACTCAACTTTACTGAAAAATAAAGGCATAATTAATTCCAAAGATAATAGCAGATTCCCTTGATTTACTTTCAATAAAATAGAAAAAGAAGTGCTGGTGTATTCTGACATATCTTGATTATTTGGATTAGGTGTTTGTGCATTGCATTTGTTAATATGCAAAGCTTCTTCTTGCACATTAATGCTGGGCTTTTCTTTATCATTCTAGAATTGTTTTAATTTTGTTGATTTGACTGATAATTTGATTTGCTTATGTGGTTTCTTTCCTTATTCAATTCTGTATCTTTTTGGAGAAGTAGGCTCATTTTAAGTCATTGGATTCATTGTTTTATTTTTAAATTTTTTATTTTTTTAAATTACTGTGTCCCAGTTCTACAGGATGTCATGCTATTGTACTGCTTCATTGCCATGTCCTTCATCTTTCTGTTGTCTTCTCTTGAAGTTTAATAATACTAATTTAGGCAATTGTTGGAGGCACTCAGATAGGTGCATGGCCACCCCAACATATCACATCAGACAAAAATGGCTACAAAACAGCACAATTGGATGGTGCCATGATATGTTGGGGTTGCCCATATCGCATTAGACAAACATGGCTACAAAACAGCACAATGGGACAGTGCCATGATATGTTGGGGTTGCCCATATTGCATCAGACAAACATGGCTACAAAACAGTACCATGGGATGGTGCCATGATATGTTGGGGTTGCCATAACCTGATCTTGGGAGTCTCCAAAGATAACCTTTATTTGTTCTTCGAGTGTGCAAGATTAGTATTGCACATGAGTTCAGTTGCCCTTAGTACCTTCTCTGCTTACCAAGATGCCAAGAGCCCAAAGCCCAATTTTTCTAAGAACATATTTTTTATTGATTGCACCTTTTTTTTTTTTGCCTGAGGATTACAGAAATTGCCCATGTTTATTTGATTTGCAAAGAACTTGATTGTTTTCGTGGACTTATCCAAATGATACTTTTGTGAAGATTCTAGTTACTCCATTCACTTTTTGTCAATTTTATCCATGCATATGACATTTCCATGTGCCCATCCATGTTTATGTGTGTGTGGGGATCTGTAGTTTACACACTTTGTGACTCAAAAATGAGTTCATTGGTGAATAAATTGTAATCCGCAGTTAGGATATGGATTTTAGCATGTATCTTCATTTTGTTATATTATGCATGTCTGAGTGTTATTTCGGTGTTTTTTGCCTATGAAAAGTTGTTAATGTGCAGGTACTGACTGTTGGGTTTTTCTGTTGATTCTTTTCCGACTATAATGACTTTTAGGGTATGGAGGGTGCTGTTGTGAATGAGGTTATGGATGTCCCAGATACTCCTGATAGACTTGCAATGGAGAAGAAGAACCATATACTCAACTGCATTGGGGATGATAAGAATATGAATGCTACAGTGGCCTCACATTCTAATTTGGGAAATGCGCGGGTGAAGCGGTTGACTTTCCGTGGCCATAGGGACATTGATGGGTTGGGAATTAACAGCGGAGGAGGGCATAAATCAGATAATGGTCATAAGATACCTGGCTCATCTTTGCCAATGTCTATCAGAACCTCAGATAGTTTTTCCTTTAAAACAGGGATATCAGAAGCAAATCAGGAACTGACTGGGCTTGATACTCAAAGGTTTCTGGAAGAGAAACATATGGGGACTGTATATGACAGAGAGAGAAAATCATTTGCCATGGGTCAAAATGATTCCATAGGTACATTTCACTCAAGTTCTGTGCCAACTATAGGTCCACAGAAACCCGATGAAAAGAAATTGCCTTTACTTAGACCATGCAGTTCTCGTAATAATGGTGACTCTTCCTTTCATCAAATTCATACCTCGAATTTGTCTACTCCAAAGATCATCGATGGAACCATACCAGTTGAAAGCTCTGTTATTGGTGGGGAAAAGGGACAAGGTAGGAACAAGGGAAAGTTGATTGATTTGTTGCATAATTTCCAACAAGACTCTGCAAGTATTAAAAATCACTCTGATACTTTTGATCATCTTGCTCCAAATTGGGGCACCCAAGATGATAGATCTGAAGTTGCTGGAACTGCACTCAAAGGTACCACATCTAGGATATTTGAGGATTCAGTAAGAGAAGAGACTGGTGTGGACCCGACTTTTTCTTTTAAATCGACAAGGCACAGACGATGTAAGATGCCAGTACTTAATGGTTGTAAACCTTCACACAGTAGTACAACTTTTATGAGGGCTTCTAGTGATTCCTCCAAAGGAGAATCAGTTGGAAGAACCCATAGAATTGACTCAAGGGGTCAGCCTTTCCAACCTGCAAATGCTCATTCTTATTCCAATGCAGAGCCAAATGACAGGAACAATGGAAAGGGAATTAATTTAAACTGTGATTCTCATTTCCAAAGTGACCAAACTGAATCTAATTTTATACAGTCGAAAGCACCACCAAGACCGAGAACAGGGAGAAGAATGCTGGTACGTAATGGTTGCATTTCTCCACAGAATATTGCCCATAGTTTTAAACAAGCCAATGGTTATTCAAGGGAAGCTTCCAAGGATCAGCATGGTGGCATTGCGGCAAATGCATCCGCAGAGTTTTCTGGGACAAATTGTTCAGGTGAGATACACGTTTTGAGTCCTGATTTTAGTGCTGGGACTGATAGAAAGAAGGACAAAGGGATCTTGATGGAATCCGAGCATGGTTCATCACCAAAACCTTTCTCCTGCAGGTAACTTGAAATTAGCATAGTTGGTTTACTTTATCTTCTGGTATTATATATGAATGATACATAGAGGAACACATTCCCTTTGTTTTTTTTTTGTTTTTTTGGTGGGGGGGTGGGAGGGATTGACATTATATTACATATCGTATTAATTTGATGGGTTCTTACAAGATATGAGGAAAGGCACCCACAGGTCAGGTGCTTTACAAGGGAAAAAATGATCAATGAAAAAAGAAATCAAGAGAAGAAACCTGAAGTAGTGAAGGGCTGAAGGCTAACCCACAAGTTGGAGCTCAACACTGACAGCTTTACATCTCATCGGAAATGTTAGAGAGTGATAACGAGACGGGAAGTGAGAAACAGATTGAGTGGAGAAAGTAGAGATCCAGGGAGAGTGAGAGGAGAGAAAAAGAGACTGAAGAAGAGAGAGAAACAGAGAGACAAAGGAGAGAAAGAGACAGACACCAGAGGAATAGATTATTTTTTCATTATTTTGTTAATGTTTCAGTGAACTGCATTTGCTTTAATCCATTCATGCAAGGCACCTTTCTTTCTCATAATGCTTCTTCCTTTTCAGATGGTTTTTAACTTTTTATGTTTGGTAAGTCATGCTAAGGTTAAACACACTTATGGCTTCTCTCTCTCTCT